CGGCGAGCCCGGTCGCGAGTGCACCCCCCCCGCGCGCGCGTTACGCGCGCGCGCCGCGCGCATGTAACGCGCGCGCCTTATTTCGCGCGTAACGCGCGCGCGCGTAACGCGTTATAACGCGCGCGCGTAACCCGCGCGCGTAACGCGCGCGCGCGCGCGTTACAGTTTTTGCACCTTCGAAAGATGAAAAATTATAGCTTAATAATAGATTAAGTCAACATTTCTCCGTAATATGGACCACTTCTATGTATAAGTAATTCCTTCTGAGGTGGATTCATTATGAAAAGAAAATCTGTGTTCATTATCATGCTTTTCTTCTTCAGAAACTTGATAATGATAACAGATTTTCGTTTCATATTCATTGGGAGAAATGTTAATGTACTAGGCAAGTAGGAATGAATTGGTTTGAGCTCTAATTATGGCCGCGACGCAGCTGGATCTGAAAGCCTGGGATCCGGCAAGGACTGCAAGGGAAATGCGGAAAATGGTCATGGGCGATCAAGAGCAACGAGAACGGGTGATGACATTTTTGAATGCGATCGTGGCTGGCCCTGGTCATCGGCAAATGTGGACGAAAAGTGAGCATCAGGAGTTCATGCAGCTGTGGAAAAAGTTCGGCATTGTTGGCATTTACAATGCTGTAGCAAGACCCAGTGAGACCACGGATGTGCTGGAAGATAGTAGTAGTATGCAGGGTTCCGGTTCTTTCGCAGTCCGCAGAAGCACTAGAACAGAAACCACGTCTCCCGGGTCGAAGTTTCGAATTTGGAGTAACGTGTCCAAAGATTTCAGTATGGACCCATCTGATCTGGCAGCGTTGAGTAAAAGCGGAAATAAGGGGGCAACCTCCGGAGTACAACTGCAACTGGTACCGCTGTTTATACCTTTGCATGACCTGCAGGAGAGTGAATTCGCCCATTGCCAGGGACACTTGCGGAACCACGCAGCAGCCCAAGCAGCTCAGAAGGAGCGAGAGCGAAAGTTGATACCTGAGGAGGGGGAACAATTACAGGCAGAGTTGGAGGCAGAACGTTGTTACAGTCTGGACACGACGAACCTGAACGAGAATAAAGAGGAGGAAGAACGCGATTGCAGCAAGATCATGACCACGCCTGATCAAAAGACGAAGATCCCAATCAAAATCGAAGGCTCGTCTTTTTCGGAAGTTTATCACAAAATGCCAGCATCCTCAACCACTACTTTGTCTGGTGGACGTGGAGACAAAAAAGGGAAAGGCAAGGGAAAATGCGGGCAAGAACGTGTTGACGTTGCAGCACGCCCACGCATCCATTCATCTAGCGCTGGTGCTGCCAAGACTCCCTGCTTGTCTGCTTGTTCTGGGCGTGTTGTACAAGAACCAGAGATGGAAGGAACAAGTGACAGGTCAACTGTGGATGTCGCAGAAATGGAAGACGAGGAGGAGAGCAGCGTTGTTAGCGAACATGCTACCCGATTAGCAAAAGACTTTGAACAACAGTTGCACTCTTTCTTGTTTGGTCATTCTAGTGGGCGATGTCCTTGGAAGCAGGAAAGTTCTTCCACTTCTAGTACTTCGAGAAGCAGTCGTGCTAGTGGGCCGCGCTGTGGGACCAACTACAGCACCAACAAGGGGAAGGGAAAAGGGAAGGTGGCAAGAGCTGATGATGGGGATCCAGATCTAGATCGAATTCCTGAAGTAAGAGGCTCAGAGGATGAGGATGATCCTGAAGATGACGAGTATGAGGATGCTCTGGAGGAGGAAGACAAAGAGAGTAGAGCACAAATGCTTGAAGTTCTTTGCGACATATTGCTGAAAAACAAGGGAACGAACACGAAGATGCAGCTAAAAGAGGAGTCCTGTTCAAGTGAAGATGAAGATACTAATCCGAAAATACCAGGATCAGGACCATTAGAGGAGGACCAACAAGAACAAAAAGGCCAGGAAATAGTACAACAGGGCAAAGATTCGCTCGCTGCACTCCGCAAAAACATACAAGCGCGATTTCTCTCTGAGAAACGGTACCAAAAGTCCAGTATTAAGAATTTCGATAGAACTCTCAAATATCTTATGACTCGTCTGGAAGACTGTAAGAGGATGCCGCAGCGGGTTCTGGAGGAAACGCTTCAGGATGGCAGCAGTCTTTCACAAGACACGACTGCACAAGACCAAGGAGAAGGAGAAGCCTCAGAAGATGATGGAAATGCTGTCAGTACAAGTACTAAGGCCTGAGAAAATCCATCTTCTTCCGCAACACCTTGGCCCAGTTTTGAAGGGAAAACGGGGACCAAGATGCTGACTCCTGAGATGGATTTTCATTTTCTCAAGGTCTAAAAGTAGTGTCTTAGCACGCCTAGAATTAGAAAAGATATTCCCTGCAGACGACGAGTGTGCGATCTTAGCTCAGGAAGAGGAGCTGGTGAAAATTAGGGGTGGTTCCCATTTATTACATCCTTCACTAACATCCCTGAGTCTTTTTCCAGTAGGAAATAAGTCAGGGATGTTCTGAGGAATGTAACTCCGTAAGCTCTAAAAAAAAGTTGGACAAACTCGTGGACGGATTGCGGATCGACGATGATATTGTCAAATTTCTCGCGGCCATGCCAAGGGAAGAGATCTTGCGTATCTCGAAGTCATCGCTCTGTAGTGATGAACAACGAGGTGGAAATGAGCAGTCCTCGTCTCAGGCAACAGAACAAGGAAATGTTGGTAGAGCTGAAGGAGCGGCTCCCCAAGTAGAAGGAGAGTGCCCTCCGACACCTGCCGAGACACGTCGAAACGAGGCACGATGTCAGTTGGTCCGTACTCTCTCTAGACTGAGCGACAAACTTAGCGGAGCTTTAGTTCCCGAAAGTGCCTTTCATCACCACGAGACGCATCTCAATGATGAACGACGGCTTGTTTTAGGTGGAAAAAATATGGGTGCTGATAGCGAAATTCTGAAGAAAGTTGACGTTTTTAGAGGTAGTACCTCTCAGTTGGCACAAAGTTGTGGTGCTGGTGCTTCTGGATCATCGTCTGGTTTTTCAGGCAACATGGATCCACTATCAGAACAACAGCAGGACGAGCTAATTGCTGGTCTTGCTACACTTTCTGTGCACTTGGAGAACAAAGTAGCGTCTCCACCACAAGGAAAAGCTAATGCAACAGCGAAGGCGAAATGTGTGGTCACTCCCCCAAAAATGAAACCACCTCCGAAGGAGCAAAGTGGTGCTGCGACATCAGGTTCTTCCTCTGGGCAACGTGGTCCAGCACCTTCCTCATCAGCTGCATTCACCAACAACGAGGACGAGGCAACAAGTTCTATTGTCTCTATACCCAATGCGGAGTTGGTGTTCACCGGATCTAGGATTCTGATTCACACTAACCTAAACTGCTTCGATGGCGCGAACCTGAAGGTAGAGATCCAGCTGGGTGCGCGCAGCTACCCTCATGCTGCTGAGGGGAGACCACTGTCTGAGGAGGACCAGGTGGAAGTGGCGAAACTGATACTTAAGGATAAAACGTTTTTTTCGAGTTCGAGTGCGGCTCGAGTGAGGTTTTCTCTACTTCCTGAGTGGATTCTTCCTATTTTTAATGGTGCTTTCGGACGATTCGGAAGAAATCAAGGGAGGATCATGAAACTCATCGGGGTTTTTCACTTATTCGAAAAACTGAAATAAGCGAGTAACTACTTACAATAAGCGAGATACTGAACAAGGAAGAGTAACCCTGTCAGAGCTACCTCCCTTATTTCAGTCAGTAACTCGGTTATTTTCAGTTTTCGAGTACTTAAGTAGCACGGAAGATAACGTTAACGACTGACTGCCTCTAAGATACAAAAAGAGCTAGCAAGGTTAGACCGGCAGAACCATGGAGCCAATAAAATGCATTGTCAAGAGTTTGTCAACGAACTCGTTCGCAGAATCGATGGTAAAAAGCCAAGCAAGGCAGAGAAGAGACAGATTGCAGCAAGTAATCTTCATGGCAACAAGAAGTTGACAGGTGGACGAAAGCAGGCACCTGGCGCGAAAGGGACTGCAGAACACTCCTCAGCGACATTGTCCTTCGTTTTTGAAAACGGAATGACAGCGCGTGTGCGATCCACAGGCCCAGGACTTCACTTCGATCAACATTCTAAGGGTAAGGACCACGACCCAGTAGACTTTCTACTAAATGATTCTTCTCAAAAAATACAAGGCCCTTTGTTCTGTAGTTCTTGCCCAGAAACATCTTCTCCTTCTGCCATTCAAGCTAGCACTACTGGTAAGGCGTTCTCTACGCTTCCGGCTGACGATCCTGAGCGGCTTGCCTGGGAGAAAGGAGTCCTCGAATTTTTTCATCACGAGTTGGCCAAAGGATGTGAGCAAGATGGGAATGTCATAGATTTTAGTAAAATGTTGACGAAAAAGAAAAACGAAACTACCACCAGAGCAGCAGAACAAAGAGCTATCGGCGCTGCAGCTTTACGTAAAAAGAACAAAAGTGCTGGTACAGGTGGTAGTAGTTCCTCTGGAGGTACAACGGGTTGTACTGCGTCTTCTGCTGGTTCATCTGCTTCCAGTAATGCTGTTGCTGGACCTCTCGGTCGTCCAGGGGGCCCTTCTAGTAATAAAGATCTCTCGGTCTCGCGGAAAATGAACAAGGAAGAAGCAACAGCTTTGTGGAGCACATGGTCAGACATGTGCGAGGACGGCTTCCTGGATCATGATTTGATGATGAACGCGCAGAACCACGTAGGAGATCTTCGTAGAGGAACACTACAAAGTGAAGATGAGGTTGATGATGTTGATCATCTTGAAAGTAGATGCCCTGGCTGCACTAGAGGCACTACTTCCAGAGTTCAACATGTGGTGGATGTGGATCATCATATGGGACGAGAGCTGCAGCAAGTAGAACCAGCAGCTAAGGCGCAACAGGCATCCGCGTCTCAACCCGTGCTTTCGAAGAAAGCGCTACGGCGAGCAAAGAAAGCAGCAAAGGAGCAAGGTGTCGACTTGGCGGAACAGCATCAAGCGAAAGAAGAGCCACGACTACAGGAACAGGAGGAGGAGCAAGAACAATCCGTAGAGAAGCCTCTGACAAGAAAAGAGATCCTGCAGCTTGAACAACAGGCAAGAAAACAGATTCGCGAAAGTGCCAGCTTTTTGGAACGCAAAGCGCGACAAGAGGCCACCAGGAAGAAGCAGGAATTGATCGAGGCCCGCGAACGTGAGGCACAAGCGAAGGCGGCTGCGGCGTTTAAGGAGGACCTTCAGAGGCGCATTGAAGAAGAAAAGAAGGCCAAAGAAGAAGCACTGCTATCCGGAGGTACGAAAAACAAGGAGAAGGAGAACAACAACATCGCTGGAACTGGCTCTTCATCTTCTGGTTCGAAGGAACACCAGAAGCAAAGTAAATGTAAAGCTTCTACCATCTCCAAGGCCAAGACAAATTCCAAATCACAACCACAAGCGCTTCAGAAAATCCCTGAGTCTCCCTCTAGTACTGCGAATGCAGGTTCTCTGACCAACACGCCAACTGGAATAAGTAAACAAGGCGCAAAAGCTGCTGCACCTTGTCCCACCACAAGGGTGCTGAGACCTACTACACCCACTTCGGCTGTTGCTGGCTCTAGTGCAACAAATCAGCCTGGAACAGCTACCATTGGTCCTTCCGATCAACCAACTACAAGCCCGTCTGGGGCATGGTCGTTGGCTCGGTTTGTGCAGAAAGAAGAACAGGTGTCCGCAGGGAGTGGTGCTGCTACTTCTTCGTATACTGGTTCTGGTCTGGAAAAAGTAGAGAGCAGCAGTTCCGCTCTCTCGAGACTGCGTGTTGATGACTCTGTTGCATCAATTCCTGAGTGTAGTGCATCTTCTCAAGCATCCTCATCGGAAGTATTTGCAGCGTGTTCTGGTAGTGCAGCTCCCTATAATCAACATATTGCCCAACATGATCCACATCAGCAGCAACATACTTCGATATCGATACACCAACAACATGAGTCTCCAGGCCTACGGAGTGCTGCAGCGCCTGGCTCCTCGAGTGCTTTCCCATCATCGGCTAGCACTAGCCAAGAACTCGCCACAACGACAGGTGGTTCGTCTTCTGCGAAGTCGAAAACTGCTACTGCGTCTTCATGCAGTTCCAATTCGAGTCGTAAAAGCGGTGGAGGTACAACTTCTACTGGTATTACTCGTGGCGGAGCTTCTTCAGGCTCATCTGAGAAGCTACACATCAAGGATGATTCTGTTGATGCCGCTGCAAATGCTGCAGCATTGATATTCCTGAACCGTTTAGATCCTAAAACCAAAGAACCAGCAAACATTGGCTTTGACCTTGGAGGATTCTCTTCCTTTGGTAGAACTCCTTGTCCACCTGGAGCTGCAGCACTGGCGCAAGGAGCACTGCGAACGCCACCGGGTCTAGAGGAGTTTGCTAGAGGGACCACTCCTGAGAGCATCAATTCAACACCATTACATAGAACTCCTTGTCCACCTGCAGCACTAGTCGGAGGAATGGAAAAACAGCCGGCGCTGTCAGTGATGCCCAGCATGTCGTATCTAGGACGAGGACCACGACAAGAGGTAAGCCCGCCTCCTGGACTGATAGAAGGTGGCGTTGCCTTTCGTCCCCCAGGTCTGGATGAGTACTTGGGGATGAGCCGCGGCGCTACAACTGTCGAGGGTTTAACTACACCTCCGTTATTGCAGCTTCCAGAAGGAGCACAACTAGAATTTCGTGAAGGTCCTAACGCTGCTAGTGCTAGTTCAGATTTTGAATTTGGTAATAGCAGAGATGGTCTAGTACAGTCCCCTGTTCCGTCTTCGATGACTCTGGCCTCGGTCTCACAAGCGGGAACTACGGGCGGCGACGACGAATCAGAGCCTGATCCTGAGAGCGGACCGGTCGTGGAGACGAGTTCGAGTAGAGACAGTTCATCAGATATGGCTACAACTACCGAGGGTCAGACGAGCACGAGTGGTCAGAAATCATCTTCGGTTTCCGAAGTAGAACACAATGCTGCTCTTCTTAGAGATCTAGAGCAGGATCATCTTGTTCAGAAATTAGATGGGACGATTCTATGCGAGGGTGCGGGTTCCAGACGGAGAAGTTCTGTTGGCACGATTCTATGCGAAGGTGCTGGTAGTTCCAGACGGAGAAGCTCTGCTGGTAGCCCAAACCTGATTGCTCGAGGAAACGTTTCGAGTAACGCTGCTGGTGCGCCTTTATTTGGCCCTTTGGCCGAAGACCCGAAAAGCTCTCCCTTCTCTGGCCCCTTCTGTCTGTGGGGTTCAGGCGAGGACTTCTTCGACGATGCTTGGGACGAGGAGGATCAAGAATACTGCACACCAAGCTTTGTCGCCGAAAAATCTTCAACAGAATCGGCAGTCTCGTCTAAATCGGCAGTCTCGTCTTCCAGACGAAAGGGTAGTTCTTGCTTCAGTCTTTCTAGTTTGCGTGAGGCCTTACCGGTGCTACCCGAAGAACAAGGGATGTCGAACTGTAGTTCTTCAGCATTTGGAAATGCTACTGGTGAACAAGATGGTGGAGGTGAACAAGATGAGCAAGATGAAGAAGGAATGTCAACAACAACACCCGGGGGAAGGTCAACATCAACAGTTACAGTACCATCTTGTTTGAGCCACTCTCCATCAAAGGATTTGACGATTTCGACCCCAGATCTGACTGTGTCTACGGACTCCTGTTGGACAACTGCTCCTGGCACATCATTGGTCTCCACTCCTAAGAACGGTTCTTCGCTGCCAACGTCGCCGTTCGGACCAGGGCGGTGGGCCACTAGCCTATCTTTGTGCCTGCAAGACGACGAAAACAAGATGAAAGGGATCGAAGATCTCGATGCTTTTAATTCCCTATCGTCCAGCAAGGAAGATGCGGATCTTCAAGATGAGCTGCTTTCTTCTGTCCTTTTCGGACAAGCGGGTCTGTGTTTGTCGCCAGGAGGAGATGAAGAGGACGAGCAGGATGATATTGTAGAGGGGCGACCGGCAGCACACGTGGGCGGAGAGTCTGGGTCTGGTGCTGGTACTAAAAAAGATCTAGCACAACTTAGACTTAGTTCAGCTGATGCCTCATCACCTTCGCCTGCAGCTCTCGCACCATGTTGTACAGTGAATCCTTCAACCGTCAAAGAGCTGCGGAAAATCACTTCAGCAAAAGAGGACGAAAAGCAACCGCAAGAACCAAAGAGTGGTACTAGACCTGCTACAGCTAAACCCAGAACAGTAGATGAAATACCGAAAAGTGCTAGTGATTTGGGTCGCAAAGACGAGCCTCCACGACCATGTACTAGAACATCTTCCGCGAGTGCCCCGTCTTCTCCAACGCTAAAGCCAGGAGGAGCTGCTAAAGTAGCAGACCCATTAGGCGTCAACACGGTCTATCCGCCTTTCGTTCTGGGACACAATAACGGGACTACAACAACGAGAGCTGGACGAGTTAATGGAACTACTTCTAGAAGTTCCGACTCGTCCAAGAACATGCCGGATGTCGCAGATGAAACCCTAGATCCTGCCTTACGTCGTCGCCTTTGGGCCTACGAGAAGGCACTAGGAATGATCGCGACGCATGTCACCAACACCATGGAGCAAAGGCAAGATCCTACGCTCAAAGCTACAATGGATTACATCAGGAGTAAGCGGGAAATGCGGTTGCATCAGTTAGTAGTCCAAAACATCAAGAACCTAAAAGGTTCTACTTCTGGAGGTTCTACTTCTGGTGCTCCTTCTATAGGAATAGGAGGGTCTGTAGTTGATAATTCAACAGAATCTTCTGGTTCTGGATCTGCCGCAGAACAAGGACCTTCAACTTCCACTTCTACGCCATTTGAACGTCCTCTAAGCTCTCTCTTAGAAGAGAAATTTGAGAAGCATAAGAAAGTCGAGGAACTTCGAAAACAAGTTCTGCAACGGGAACAGGCAGAGCAACGGACTTTTTTGGCGACGCTTCGTGAGAACATCCGACGCAATCTGAAGCGGAAACCTCTCCAGTTTGATGGCAAGTTCAACCCTTGGACCAGCACCAACGTTTTATGCCAGCAGAGTGTGTTGTACTTGTTCTGGGCGTTGCATGGCATGCGGGAGCATGTGGACCGACAACGGGCACTGGCGCAGCACGCAGCAAAAAGTGCTGGGAAGTCTTCTGGCGCCTCTGGAGTAGATTCTGCCCCGTTCGATTGTGTGGACGTTAACCAGGCGTGGAGGAAATTCACAGAGCAAGTGCTGTACCCTAATGCCATCTTCCTGAAGGATCCACGTGCTGTGTTTGTCTTGAGGATGTTCACGAAGTTACCTGGTGGCATCGAAAAGCATCTAGCGAAGGGTGGAGGAGCAGGAGGTACGCCTAGCGGAGGAGCCTCCAGTACTACTGCTAGTAGACCTCCAGATAGTACAAAAGGAACAGCGCAACATCAGTTTAATGTTTTCAACATGAACTTTTTTCAGCAGATGGGTGCTGGAGGAATGATGGCTGGAATGCCTCCTGGAGTTGCTCCCTTTATCCCTGGTGCCGGAGCTGCTATTCATCGAAGTGGTCGTGTAACCTCCCCTCAGGGCGGGGCGGTGACATATGCACCTAGCGGTTGCGGCGTTGTTCCTGGTGTTCCACTCCCGGATGGCATGCCTATGGCAATGCCCTTCCCGTTTCCTCCTTGGGCGGCGTGTGGGTCGGCGATGATGCCCACTGGACAGTTTGCGGAGCAGCAAATGATGATGTTTCAACAGGCTGCTCAGGCTCAGGCAGGTGGATGGGGAAATCCTGCTGCAGCTATGATGAATAGTATGGGAGCTGGTGGTGGCGGAAATGTAGCGCCAACACGTGACCAATCTTCAGGTGCGGCGTCTTCAGGAGCAGGCACTCCTGACCAGCAAAAGCGCACAACTTCTCGATCTCGACGCAAAAGTGAAGTCGACACACAAGGAAGTTCACCAGCGTCTTCACAAGATCCTCAAGCAAGTTCTTCTGAGCAAAATGCTAACATTCAACATCCTGCGTCTATCATGTATCATAACCAGCAGCAGGAGCACCAAGCAGGGCCATATCACCCACCTTTTTTAGGTGGGGAAGACTGGTCGACGCACTCGTCATGGTGGCAGTATTCGCAAGCACAACAACAACAACAAGGAGGTCAAGAGCCTCAACAAGAACTTAATATGCAGATGATGACACCCACACCCGAACAGATATTACAGCACGCCCAAATGATGGGAATGTTAAGGCTCACAACAATTCATCTGAAGAAGCATCTTTAACCCCTCTGCTAAGAGTAAAACACGCCAAAGATGCACTCAGTGATGAATTTGCGTGAGGTCTAAGAATGATGCCTTTCTTTCCGAGCAGTCCGACATTACAACAGCCTCCACTTCCACAAGGGCAGGGAGACTTTGAAGACTCTTTGAAGTCGTTGCTTGCTAATATAGAGATGATGCCAACCGGAAGATCCGGAGGAGCACAACACCAAGAACAAAAATATCCCCATCAACATGAAGATGAACAACAAGAAGATCATTCTTCTCAGCACCGTTTCTCCCGCTCCTCAATCGCAGCAGCTCCGTTCGTTCCGGGTGATCTTACACGGTCTAAAGGCTCGCCACCCGTCGGGAAACCACGTGGGAAACCCGTCAGGGATTGGGAAGATTGTGCGAGTGAGGAGGTAAGAAATCGCCTACTTTTCATGGCTGCAGCAATGGAACAAGATGGTTCTCCTGGAGGTGAACATCTTCAACAAAGTAGTACTTGTTCTACTCAACATGATAATTCGTCATCGGTACCCCTTCAACTACCGAGTGGTACTTGTTCTACTCAAGATCAGACATCGTCATCGGTCGTAGAAGTACCCCGTAGACGAGCTCCACCAGGACTAGAAGAAGAACAGCAGGACCACGTTGAGAAAGACGCTCTTCACGCTAATTATAAGGGTCATGAACATTATTCGCCATCCAAAGGCGAACAAGCCAACAAAGGCGGAGCTTCCTCTCATCCTCTCTGGCAAGGCAGCAAAGGTCGGGGAAAGGGCCATGATGAATATCTTGGAGGAAAAGTTAAAGTAGGCAAAAGCAGCCGTCAGCATCATCAGCAACTTCATCATCTGGCATCCTCTAGTCCTAGCCCTCCTAGTGCCACTACTCCTTCGTCCGAAGAACCGGCTAAAGGACAGCAAGGAAAAGGATCTTCTAAAGAAGGACGTGCACATCGAGGAAAGGGCCAAGGTGCATCGTCGTTTTTGGTTGGAGGTAAAAAAGGAGATGCTGCAGGGGGAAAAGTTCATCATAGAATTATTTAGAGGTGCTTCTGCTTTTGATAAAGGTTAAAAACCACGACTCAGGTCCGTTATTTTCCGCGTTTTAGTTCTACACTACTTAGGGACATTATAAGATTTATGTACGTAGTAATCGAGTTGTGTGTCAGCCGTTTCTGAACAAAAATCGCTGTTGCAGCAAGCTGGTAAGATGAAATATCAAATCCAAATGTAAACGAGTGGTTTCTGAATAAAATAATGATTTTCTTTTTGCGATATATGGAATCTCCTACCAGGAAGACAGGAGCATGCATTTTTTGCTTCCTACGAAACTACTGATATGATATCGGAGAAATGTTGTACTTAGATGTTGATGTAAGTCTAAAAAAAAGATGATAAAAAAATGACGACGTGATATATTTACTTTCCTTGATGTAGAAGCCACGATATTACGAATATAATGATCTTGATAGTTGAAGCCAGGCCGTGGACGCGCTGCACGGCAGCGTCTTTTTGGCAAAGCCGTATCTGCGCGGCATATTATGACGACAAGAATCTCATCTTGATCTTCGCAGTTGCAACTTATTTTCAAAAAGGCATGAATTTGGGATGTGCTACAACGATACGGAACAAATGAAAAAAGCGATTACCAAACTAATGCATGAACGAACCATATCGTATCGCTTTTTCGAAATCTCTTATACAGCGTAACCTTTTCAGCTATGTCTGTCTACGATAGCATTTTGGCCGGTTCTTTATGATTTTGAGATATTGGCAAGGTAATTACAGAAGTCGTGGGGAGTAGAAGTTTAATCTCTTGTGCAGCGGCAACCGAATGCCCAACATTTCTACACGACTATTACTGAGACACAGCTACCGATGCTGTGCCTGCGGTGTATGATCTTCTTTTTTTCTTGCATGAAAATTTATTCACGTCGGTCAAACTGGTGAATAAAGGCTATCTATTTGTATATCTTTACTGTTAGACCACGTCTCTACGGTCACCATGAACGGTGATAACAGGGACAATAGCATGCATAATGAGCAACATTCAACAAAATTGGTGAAGGTGATCATACTTCTTGTTCAAGATGATCAACATGCGTGTCTACTTCACCTGGGTTCGAGTTATCCACTTGCGGTAGACAGAGTCAGAGTCTCAAATAAGAATATGAAAGACTCTATTCTTCTGTCAAAAGAAGTGAGAGAAGAACGCCCTGTTGCCAACAAAGTCTGTCAACATTGAGAGAGCTGTAATATCTGTGTGGCTGGAGAGCAGAGTCCGTCCCTGTGCATAGTGAGAATCTTAGGGAGTCATGATCTAAGGTAGTTTCCCAGATACGACCTAAGGGAGTGGTCAATGATCTGTTTAAGTGAGCATCGTTTCTGTTGCTTCTGATCCGGGACGAAACTTGTAGGACGTGAGAAAAAAATTGTACTGCATGATGTAGAGGGAGCTACCGGCCAGAGAGTCCACGACCACGGAAGGACTCAATGATAATTTCTGCCGATCCGGGTCTCTACATGATGCGATAGAGATGAAGAGGAGGTAAATTCCAGAATGGAACTGAATCATGATGAGCGTGATGTAATCTATCTTTCTCCTCGTCCTTCTTGTGTCACAGGCTTATCATATGATTTCTTTTTTTTTTCCCCATCCATACATTTTATTTGATGATTTCTTTCGCTTTCCTTTGTCGTGCTTGTGTACATCAAACGGTAAATACGACGACCACATCAACGACCTATTTTCTGAGATTATCACTATTCTGATTTCAGATTGAAATCTTTTTTTTTCGCAAGATCTTAGTACTTCGATCATCTTATTTAGTACTTATAAAAAGCTTAATCGCTTTTTTTATGTCTTGATCTTGAAGAAACCATGGCGCCCGGTGGTCGTGACAAGAAAAAGCAGCTCCGTGAGCTAGCTGGCGTGCCTCAGAGTGGACAGATATCCTCTAGCTTTGGTCCTGGAATGACCTTAGTGGATGACAATGCTGGGTCGTATGGTTCTGTCGGGAATGGAGGATCTGCAGGTGGTCTAGGCGGAGGTCTAGGAGGCCTTTTCGGCGCAGGAGATGAGGGAGACGTCTCCATCGACGTGAAAAGGAAGAGCCTAGAAGAGCAGAAAAAGAAGGAGCAATTGTTGGCGACGTTGACGGAGAAGACCAAGGAAGTGAATATTGGGTTGACCATTTTCGCGTCACACAGGAGAGTGACGCATGACGCGCTCGGAGCTGTGATCAATATCAAAAACCCATCCGCGAATCCAGCTTCGACCAAAGAAGCTGTCGACAAGGTTCAAAAACTCTTGAACGAAACCAAGCAGCTAGCTGATCAGTCTCAAAAAGCCATGCTGGAACTTGAGCAACTTCAGCCTAAAGCGAAGTCGCCTGCAGAGAAACAGATGGTCTCTAGAACCTTGATGCAAGGAAGTGAAGGATTCAAGGATGGCCTTACCGAACTACTGGACTTACAGGAAGATTTTAGGGAGCTGGTTGGAGAAATGAAGACGGCTGGGGGACAGACAGGTATAAAATACACAACGACAACTACTGAGCAGATCATCTTTTTCTTTGCATCTGCATGGAAGATGTGAAATGGAAATTGATCCCTTGTTGGTTATCATCTGCTGCAGTCCCAGTCATTTGATCTTTTCATAAACTTATCATTGTCATTCCTGTTACTCACCTTCTTAGTCTTCATAAGCCATTACCAATTATATTGGATCATGTCTTCATAACCCATTAGCAAGTTACTTAAATGGATCACGTCTTAATAACCCAGCATTACCAAGTTACTTATAAATGGATCCACACGTAAGTTTACCACCTCCTCCCAACAGGTGGCGCCCAAACGCAAAAGCAAGCCGCAACACAGAACCAGCAGCAGTTGCAAAAGTTGCTGGATGATGCTGTGGCGATCAAGGCTCTCGAAACTCAAGTGTTGGAGTTGAATGATATGGTGAACTACTGCATGGTACTGTCAATACTACTTACTGTCAATACTAATATTGCCGCCGATTGACGTTTTACCTTCAGCGTCTGCTAGAAGAAGTAGGACAAATGGTTAAGTAGGACTAGGGCTAGGTCGTTTACGTTTTAGAGCGCTGTATTGGGTGGTCCAAAACGATGCTGCAACTTTTGATCATGCAGCTTCAAACTTTCTTCCTGCTACTCTTATTTTCTTCCTGCTGCTCGTTCTGCAGCTCGTTGTACTCCTAGTTAATATTCCTTGTTCACATGCTCCTCGTCCTACGATCCTCGTCCTACGATCCTCGTGCTACGAAGATCCTCGTCCTACGATGATCCACCTATGAATTACTACACAATCAAAAAATCCACTTTGAACTTGAACTACAGGCCCTGACCGAAAAGCAAACGAAACTCCTTCAAAACATTGAAACCGCCGTGGACGAAACGGAGGAATACACTGGCGCTGCTGTCGTCAAGCTGGAACATGCTGAGGAGCATCAAGACGCCTATCTTCGAAAACGGCGCATCATCATGTGCATGATCGGAAGTGCCGTTGTGATCTTGATAGTGTTAATTGTCCTTCTCTTGCTCCCGAAATGCGGAGTCGACGTGAATTGCGGATGTGGTGCAAAAAATAATGCAGGAGGAGCGGCACCAGCTGCAGGAGGAGCGGCGCCAGCTGGAGCGGCACCAGCTGGAGCGGCGCCAGCTGCTGGATCGTCTTTTTTGGAGAGCTTGTATCCGCTTCGTGATTGCCCATGTGAGTGTGACGAGGAAAATGCGAATACGGAACATATTGCGGAGCAGGGAAGTTCTACTTCCGCACCGTCATTCCTGGACGAAGACGAACAGGAACGTCAAGATGATGTTGTCTTGACCAAACAAGCTTCCGGTATTGCAGCATTAGAGATCGATACGAACGGAGACGTTTTGAGCAATCCGGCGGAAAAATCCGGAGACTTCTAGATGCAACAAAAACTGGAGACATTTGATTGAAGTTGTTGTTGTAGGAGAATTTTGTATTGTGATAGTCATGTACAGCGATTTTTGGAAGAAATTGAAATAAGTAGGATCAAGAATACAACAGTATATGGATCAACAATGAAGAGTGATAATATTATCGAAAAATGGCACAGTTATCTAACAGAATTTTTACGCATCGAAACTGAAAATGTACGATGGGAAAAAGAGGAGTGATTTGATGCAAGAACATGAATACTTCGATTAAACAAACGCAAGAATAAGAAAGGAGTAGCACGAAGTCAGAAAATGGTAGATAGAGGTAGAACTTGTGCTTGTGGAGCAATGATGATAAATAGGAGACGCTAGTCCAGCACCTATGCTTAGTTCTTCAACTTGAAAATTATGTTAGGAAAAAACGACGTTATTAAGTAGCAATTATGTTGTAGACGAAACTACAGCAGCTTGTGCTTGACTCAGCTAGGTTGCTGAAAAAACACATGTAGTCGTGAAGCTTATGGTTATGGCTGCTATGTATTGCTAAAAAGAAGAAAAATGAATTTCGCCTGAGTCAAGAGATGGCGATGTCCGGGATGGAGACCACTAAAAGTTTACGGTGATGATGTTCTCGATTACAGCCCCTTGAGCTCGGTTCTTTCCATATGTCGTCTTCGCAAGCCTCTGCTTCTACCATCTGCCATCTGCCATACGAAATTTCTGTAATATATTCGTTCTTTCTAGTAGTATCAGAAAGAAGAGCACTCTGAAGCTAAAACAACAACATGTTGCCCTCTTCGTCCACCTCCTTCACTTCGGCAAGTCGCGACGCGTTTGCGCCAGCTGCGGGCGTACCACCATTAAGGGTTTCCGAATTACATCCCTCACTGCCATCATTCACTACCATCATTCAAGGGGAAAACTATAGGTCAAGGATGTTCTGAAGAATGCAACTCGGCAACCTATTCCACTTGAAATATCCGCAGAAGGCGAGGACGTGGTGTTAGAGGTTGCCGAATTGCATTCTTCAGAACATCCTTGACCTATTATTTTCCCCTTGCCAAGGATGGTAGAAGTGAGTGCCTCTCTTTTTCTTCAAGATGTTTCTGAAGAATGCAAGAAAAAGAATTCGGCAACCTCTGTCTAATTTCACGTCCTCGCCTTCTGCGGATATTTCAAGTGGAATACCGCTTCCTGAACGTCGCGATTCATATTCTGCTTATTCTCTTCGTTGGCCTTGCGTCTGCGTATACGCTGCGGACGTGTTTGGGGTCGTTCTACTTGTTCTACGAGGATAATTTATTTTAAGGGTACATCAAGAAATCTCCCATTTTCAGAGGCATCTTGGTTCCGTTTTTAAAGGGACGAAAAGGAGACCCAAGATGCTGCTCACGATGGACTTCCATGAGTTCTAATTATTGCTGGAACAACCCGAGGCGGAAGCTGCGAAGCATAAGGCAACACTATTGATGCTCTTTATGCCGACTATGGTTTTTTTCGGCTACTGGAATTGGCTCTCCAAAGAGTTTGTGAGGTATGCTCCTTGAAGAAGATGACTAGTGATCGAAATCGGGACGCGAAAATTCGACCTACAAGAAGAAACCGAAGATGAGTACGAGGTGTAGGAGGATCTTCGCTGCAGCATCGTGATTGTAGTGATGTTGAAATGCAGCAACATTCCCTGCAGCATCGTGATTGTAGTGATGATGAACTGCAGCAACATTCCCTGAGACGAGAGAACCAAGAGCGTTGGATCAGATTCCTCCACCTACTAGGGACAAATTAATGTGCATATGCCCATTTCCATCTGTCATCGAGTGCAGGAATTGCCTTTTCAAATCTGTAGTCCATTGGAGAGATGAATGAATATCCTTCCGGTGGCCATTTTGATGATTGGTTTTACTGCTGAGCTTTGTATCTTAGTCGCAATCTGTCTCTGAGTGTCTCAGACAGCACTGCTCGTCTGTCAGCAGGTGGTTGTGATAAAAACAAAAGATATCTGTCGACAGAGGCAAAGTGTAGTTGGAGTTGAACCCATGCTCTTGACTTGGCAAACCCGTGCTCTTGACTTCATGATCCTGACATTGTTTTCATTAAAAACCCACTTCGGACAACCTCCAGGCTTTTGCTTTTACATTTACTTGTTTAATATACGATATAAAGATAAGCGTTCATCCATGCGGTCGGCAACATCATTCCCCTTCCGCTCATAGTTGATCCATCCTCGAGCATGACTTTTGTGTAGTCCTCGTCGTCTTGCTTCTAGTATCAATTTCAGCCATCTTCACGTTAAACGGAATCACTTGCTTCTAGTAAGTACTACTTTTAACAACTTCTAGTTGAGTTCTAACTCTACGGATCTAAATCGATTTCGATTCCTTCAAGATGGGAAAAGATAGTGTGCATAAGGTGCCCAAATATGACAAGATCGTTGTCCACGTCACTCGTTGCGAGGGTCACTCGGAGAAGCCGGATGGATCCACTGAGTCGCAGCCTAAAAGGTTTGGCGCGTCACTGACCTCCTACCATACGGATTTCAAGAAAGGATCCGTCTTCACCGACCCTAAGGACTACAATGTCCTGGCATACAGTGGGATAGCGCATGAGATTGCAGTCGTTCGTGATCCTCGTGGACAACAAGGAGTTGTAGAGGTGGACCACGTCGAGGACGCTCTGGGACCTGCCAGTGCCAGACGAAATAAAGATGGGTCTTGCCGTAGAGGTGTATCGTTCAATCTGGAAGAAGACCATGACGGCAGTCAAGGCAAAAGTTCGTCGAGGCGTAGTCATGCAAAAAAGAATACGACATCTTGTTCTCCCTGCAGCTTTGGGAAGAACTATAATTATATTGATGCCTATTCGGGCCAGAAGTCTTCACCAAGAACCAGTCCAGGGTTTTCTCCTAAGGAGCCGAATAAAAGTCCAACGAGCTGCAAGTTGCTCGGCGAAACTCAAAGTCCTACACTCTCCGCACGTGGCCAATTCGTTGTTTCTGACCGATGTGGCAAACTTTCAGCACCTCAAAGGGATATTCCGGAATTGTTAGGCACCTTGCGACATATGGGAGTCGTTGACAAGGCGTTCCGATTAGCACCTCACTTGACTAAGGATGGGAGGTTCGCCGCTGGTATTCAGTCTGGCTCTGGTGCGTTGACGACGACGAGTTCCTCTGGTGCAGCTCCAAGCACTTTGTCGTATAGCTATGGGGGTCCGGGAGGGCCATTATCTCCCAGCACTGGCACAACAACTACCCGAGGAGCTCCTGCAGGTGGAACCGGCATAACCAACCTTCCCGGCTATCCACCTGCTGAGGCTACCAAAGTCGTCGGATCGATCCCACCTGGCTATGTGAGACGCGCTACAGCCTATTGCTGGACCGGTGAGATCGCTAATCCTACTGATGAACCTGTCTTGCCGTTTTCTGGGGATCATGTCGAACTGGTATCCCGTCTGAACCAACAAGGATATCGGAAAAATCTAGACCTACAGAAGCAACGCAAGATAGCTGCTTCGTTGCCCTATCCGGCTGATCATCCGAATCGGTTTTCCAGCCTGGGACCTTTCAGCACTGGAGATCAGGAGGTAGGTGAGGTGACCGGACTAGCGGGAAACGTTGCGAGGAAGATCAATGACCAAGAACATCTACCAGACATGATCTATGCAACTTCCATGCCACCGCGTTGGTGGAGGGAGCCTCCAGGATGGTTCGAGGCACCAGCGATTACCACTGGATTGTTCTCTTCTTTGGCCCCTGAACCTAGGGTGGATTTGACGGAGATTTTAGCTGGTGCGGGAGGACCTCCGCCAAGATGTGGTGAACATCAGGCTGAGCAGGGCTCTACTAGTTCTCCCCCAGCAGGAGGAGCTGCTTCCAGTCCAAAACAAGATAAGTCAAAGTCTAGTCCAAAAGATAAATCGTACAACAAGAGGTCTGCCTCTTTTTCTCCCACCGCTGATTCCAAGAGGAACAACAAGAACCTGGATCTCCTGACACAGAAGAATCGTCCACTAGCCATGACCTGGCATGAATTCGAACAGAAAACGCATCCCACACAGCAGTTCGATTTGGACAGAAAATTTCACGAGACTTTAGAAAGAAGCTGCAAGCCTATGCCGCCGCAACCACAACGATCGTATCGATTGAACTTGGTGAAGCGCAACTGGACAGCAGATGTGGAGCCGGCAAGTGGGCATCTGATTGGTGCTAATTTGCACGGTGTGGAACTGGTAAAGCCGCCCGTGAGAGACTGTTTGGGCCATGTGCCGCCGATACAGTGTAGGAAAGGACTGAAATGAAGACGAAAAAGGCGATGCTTGTTAAAACGACAAAGAGACCACTGACCACAGGAGCTTCGAAAAGTATACTAGATTATAGAAGATGATTTTATCCAAAATTAATGTGATCAACTAACCTCCGTTAGGCTTAACGATAATGAAAGCGAAGAACGATTTTAATATGTCAAGCAGATGAAGCCGCGAAAAAATCACTTATAAGAACTGGCTTTCGTGACGTGCGCGTGCTTGAAGATTCAAAAAATGGAAACGTGGTGCATTTTGTATGCAAGAGATGAATAAACACGGACATGATGATGATGCATTAAGATTGATGCTTCGTGTTCCAACTGCAACTCGATGTTTGTCTTGTTCTTTCTCGAGCCAGTAAAACGATGTCTAGTAAAAAGAAAGACGCGCCAGGGCCTGTGGACAACGCACCCGGGGCTGCTCTCGGATTATCGTTGCAGGTAACGGGCGGGAACGTTGCGCATCAGCGACCACCGCTCGCTCGCACTATCCCGTCTCGACTGCCGACGTCCCCCAAGAAGAGTCCGGTGCAGCAGACGAACGGAAATGGAACATCGGTCTTCAAAAAAGGTGCTTCTGCAACAGGAAGTAGAACAAGTGAGAACTACAAAAAGAGCAGTAAACTACAGCAGCTGCATGCTATACCATCAACTAAGAACGTCTACTTCAGCAACACCTCGTCCTGCTCAATGTCAATCCTCGCTTCTACAACAACAGACTACTCACCTTCTTCTACCTCCTTTCGCTATTGGGGAGGCGAAACCACGGAGTTCCCTCCTGAGCTGTCCGGTTTGCAGATAACCGAAGCACTTTTGCGTTTGCAGGAGGAGAAGGGCCTTAGACGCGTAGTCGCTTCGTACATCAAAGATGCTGTTTTTAGAGTCGTGACGAAGACGGAAGCTTTTTCGCAGTTGCTAGAAGGTACTTGCAACAATTATACGAGTTTGCTAGAACAAGGTTGTACTAGTACTTGCAACAATTTTTATACGAGTCAAGCGGAAGGTGGTCTACTAGGTCAACACATCACAGCCAGCGACGTTCACGTCTATGATCCGAATGCAGGGAACGGCGCTCTGCTCTTTGCCGAGACGACTGCGTTGACACCTGGCTTCTTTCGGCGCTCAAGATACCGGGAACGGGATATTGATGGAGATGAGGAGGATGAAGATGAGGATGAAGAGGAGGATCAAGGTGTAATAGTGGAGGCCCACGAAATTGAAGCTCAGGTAGAAGATCCTCATGCTCACCGCGAAGACGCTGGAACCCTCGCCGAACAGCTTCTTCTCACCTCAGTTGCGGATCTTGTCATGAACGACGTCCTCTTGAGCAAAGAGTTGCGAAAGGAGGTGGAGCCTCTGTGGAACCGCGAAGACGAACTGAGATACAACGAGTACGGCAGACCAGGTTCTGGGAGGTGGGACAGGAGAGCTGATCAGAAACGGACTGCCGATGTGAGACCGACGTCTGGGAAGAAAGGTATTCGAAAACTCAAAATAACCGAGTTACTGACTGAAATAAGGGAGGTAGCTTAATAACGCCAAGTGGTTACTCTTCCTTCTCATGAGTATCTCGGTTATTCTGATCAGTGACTTGCTTATTTCAGTTTTTCGAATACATAATATTTTGGTTTCGATTATACTTCTAATAGTACTTCTCCTTCAATATGAATAAGTCTGACTATTTGTGTAGCATGCATGCAAAGGCTCTTTCTCACAGGTTTGATACCACGCGACGGACTGTTACCGGAGGAGCGAGCTGCTATTCTTCAGGCAAAGCGAGAGAACGGGGAGGAAGATGAAGCGGCGGAAGAAGAAGATGGAGTCGAGGAAGATGAGCCAGATGAAGCTGATGCTCTTGAAGAAGAAGAGGAGGCAGAAGAGGGCGATGAAGATGAGGGAAATGGGCAAGAGGATGAGGACGACGATGATGACGAAGAGGAACAAGAAGACAATGCAGATGCTGCTGACGAGGAGGAGGAAGAAGATGATGACGATGTTGGAGAAGAAGAAAACGATGTTGGAGAAGAAGAAAACGGTGATGCTGCCGCAGAAGAAGAAGGGGAAGCAGGTCTAACTCAATCCGGTATCCCACATGAGAACGTGAACCAATTGACCGCTCAGGAGGATCATATGGTTGTTGGTGATGGCGCGGTAAAGAAAAAAGAATCTCAATCTTGTTTAGATGGACAAAATACCTCTCCTGATGTGAAGCCAACCGAAGGTTCTATTGAACAAAAAGCTGATGTAGAACTAGAATGAGCCTCACGAGGACCTTGGCACGGCGATAACTCCGTAACCAAAGTAAGTTGTTGCCCTCACAGATGTTCTCCACAGAATGAGAAAAGAAGATCGGTCCAATGTTTCTGGCGCTGATCATGGTACTATCATCGGTGTACTTAAATTCTTGTCTGTCAACCTGCTGAACTTCATCGGTACAAGTCTTAGGTTCTCCGATTCCCTACCTAGAGGCACAAGCGTCTGTCCCGGAAGCACCTGAATCTGTCAAAGTAATGCGTTTCTGTTCCGCCACATCCTCACGATCACAATGATTTCAAAGATAAAAATTTAGTTATACTGTAGTTGTGGTTTTTAAAGGATGATGTTGATAAGGAGCATTCCTTACCTTTATTTTTCTAGTTAGGTCGGGGGCTCCACCACAATTTATTAGTATCTATTGGAAGAGAGGAAGTCGAAAATGAGTTCGTCTCCTTCACGAGGTGGTGCAGCGCGTGGTGCTGCTGCCACCTCTACTAGACCAACACCCTCCAAAGGGGAACATAAGCACAGCACATCATCTGGAGGCCATGCTCTTGCTGGACATGGAGGTAACTCCAAGCAAGAGCTACTTTCATCGGGTACTCATAAAGCAATTTCTGGTAGTGGAGGGAATTATGCTGTTGCCACAACAACCACCAGTCCTGGGCCACCAGTGACGTTGAGCAAAATGAAGAGTGCTGCTGCCGCATCTTCCATAACTGGTGGCTCAGTCCGTGCAAATCCCGGCGCTAGGTGGAAAACACCGGCACAGATCACGACTGATGGGCTGAATGTTTTTGCAAACTACTATCAGCAGTTGATCCTGGCGACGAGGGCGAGACCGAAGAATGGGGTAGCGGTGAAGGAGGTAATATTTGAAATCGAAAACTTAAAATAAGCGACTAGCAGCTAATGTTATAACTGAAATTACAACAGGGTCGTTCGTTGTTCCTCTTTCAGTATCTCGGTTATTCAAAGTAGCAACTTGCTTATTCCAGTTTTTCGAATATTTTTGGATTTGGGTTGTCTGATAAAATCGAAAATTGTTTTCTCCAGGACTGACTCTCAAAATCCCAGATCAAGTATTCCGATGCGGTGCAAACTGAAGGTCGGCTTTTCGCAGTACCCTTAGCGCAGAAAGAAGTAAACTGCTATGACACTTCTGCATCTGCTAGTCCTGGTCTTCAAACAGCATCTCCGTCTTCAACGACAGCGCCTACTTCAACATCAGGGGCATTGTTGTCAGCTGCAGATCTTTCCCTTTTTGATGGCGGCTCCTGTGCAATGTTGTTGCAGGAGTCTATCCGGAAACTTCTGTCTGGTCAAGCGACGATTTTCACACTTGTGAAGAATGATCGAGCGAGGATTATAGACATGATGCGAAATGGGATGAAAGAGCCACGCCGTTGGGAAGGACGAACGACTCGTAGCATCAGCAGGGAAAATGTTGAACATCAGCGAGCAGGAGATGATGAAACCGCACAAAGACAGATTTCTAAGAATTCTGATCCTTCTGGAAAGAAAGTGACAGTAGTTGCGGCAGAAGAAAAGCAAAACGATCCAGCGAAAAGATCTCCATCTCGGAGCAGTGGTGAAAAACTAGTACCATCCGACGACGCTTTAGTTGATCACTTTTTGACTGCTCTGAGTCGCGAAGTCGACAGGTTGGACCTCTACGGCACACTGTTGCTCGAGAGGGGACACCGGAATAATCCTAGCCGTTCCTTTTTCCAGGGACCGAGGAAGGCGACAGAGCTCTGCGAAAGACTGTGTGACGAAACTATCTTTCTCAAAATCGTTGACTTCTTGTCCAGGGCAGAGGTCAAGAAGGGCAGCAAAGTACAACAAGTAGAAAAGAACAGGAGTAGTACAGCAAGTAGTAGTCAAGGTCCTGTTTTTGGAACAAATAATAAATCCTTAGGACCTGCTAGCTTAGGTCTAGGACTGAAACTTCCGGGAGTAGGAGGAACTTCTATAAGTGGTGGCGCGGGTGGTCCTGTGTCTGTAATCACGAACGATGACCCATTCAAGATCGTGTACAGGCCTGAGGGGACACCTCCGGTAATTCCAGCAGATGATCAACAACAGTCCTTAGAGGGGTCTGCGACGACCACTAGTAGTTCTAGTACTTTCGAACAACAAGCTGAAACCCCGCCCAGTGGTGCTGGGAAAACAACCTCTCCGAAGTCCAACCCTACTAGCCCATGGAGAAACAACGACAAGCTCCAGGAAGAAGCTCGTTTGAAGAATGTGTTTTCTGCTATGGTAGAAAGGGAGATGAACATGAAAATGAGTCTAAATGCGTTAGATCCGACGAATGAGGCTATGAAAGCGCTAGCATCCACTGACCCTCATCCTCTAGTCAACTGGGTAAGGGGGGTCAAGAGAACTCCGAATAAGGATCATAGTTCTCCTGTTAAAATGCCTGGTCGTGCTGCAGTGACGTCGGTTCTAGAAGTAGGCGCCTCAGCAGAAGAACAACAGGACAGCGCTACAACCGCGAAGCAGCAGCAGCTTCATGCAGCAGCTTTGTCGGCAGCAAGAAAGAGTAAACTTCAGATCGGGAAAAAGGCGGTCTCTGCACTCGGTACTACATATGTGCTACCGTATTACCAACTGCCTTCTCGGCGTGCTCGTCCATAACTGAGATAAGCCCTCTCATCCTTACATACTCGCTACCATTTTCATCCATCTCATCTACTTTCATACTGTCACTCAAAAAAATACCCACTGCCAGGTTTCTTCTCCGCCTTAGACGGTCCAAGCGTCCCTTCTGTCGGCTGCTATCGCATCGAGTTCAATCCACGCCTGATGTATCGCGCTGACGCTTGCTGCTACTTTTACCCTGGTTCAGTTTCTTTGGTTGCGGAACTAACTGACCCTTTAGATGTCCAAAACGCTGTGTGGGCAGCCATGCCTAAGATCCATCTAGGATTGCCAGATGGGCTTTCCGACTACAATTTGAGTTTAGACGGTCTCCTTGCTGGTGGAGACATGAGCAGTCGTGCTGCTCCGAAATTTGTGCACAGGTTGCAACTAGTGCCAGCAAGTGGCGCGACCGTTGCCGCTGTCGTCGATCGCATTGGAAGTGCAATGAGTTCGTTTAGCGGAGCATCAAGTTTCCGGTCCACAACGTCATCGTCTATTCGTACATCTGCTGGCGTTTCGGTAAAAGGTGGAATTACTGCAAATATTGCCGGTGTGGGTGATAAGAAGAAGGACAATTATCTGAAACAAGTAGATGCAGGTCGTGCTTCTTCGCCGCCGAAAGGAGCTGAAGATGGAGCAAATTCTCTAGAATTTGCCTATGCAGCACCGGTCCACAAACCTGTCTATCCACTACGTCCAAAGCTTAACGAACGGGAGATCGTTCCCCAAGCAAAAGTACCTAAAAAGGTCGACAAGCTCATAGCTCTGCCGCAAGTAGAGGAAGAAGTGTCGAAAGATTTATGGCTAAAATCCTCCTCGGAGGCTATAAAACCTAAGTAGACAGCACATGGAAAGAACGAATTTGACATGATCTTCAAAAGGGACGATGATAGGAGAATCACCAGACTACTCGTTTTATTACCCTGACAACAAGGAATGTGATTCACATCTTCGATTCTACCACCTCTAAAAAAAACCATGATCGAACGAGATGAAGCTCAACGGGCAACGATAAATCAAGGCTCACCAGGAGACGAGGAGCGTCGTGGCAACGTGACGGAGCTATCTCAGCTCTTGCTATCAAATATGGGCCTCGAAAATAAGGCTGCTTTCGAGACAATGATAGGCCAGCTCGCTGAAGACAAGATCGCTGCCAAAAAACGCGAACTTCTGCGAGAACAACAAGCTGCCACTGGCACCAATGGTGTTAGCGAAAAAGTAGTTGGTGGAGATGCCGCTTCTACAGGAGCAGCGGCCGCACTAGCAATGCATGAAAGGCATACTCGAAAGTCTCTCGCAAATATGGAGAGCAGAAAAAGCCGTGGAGGTCAAATGCCTATGAACCACATTAGTATGGCCCACATGGCCGGACGTGATGGTGCGCGTCCACAAGTAGGGGGATCGTCATCGTCAGGACCTGGAAACAATAACGTTCTTTTTGGCACATCAACAGGAGCGATGGCGGCAGAGGACGGTAGTACAACGAAGATGATGGAGATGCAGCAAGTAGGAGATGGACAAAAATCCAGCCTATCAGATCTGTTCGGTACTCTTCAAAAAGCCAAGTCAAGATTGTCTAAAACCTCCTCCATACGTCGTGGACGCAGTGGCCATAGGGTCCAGGTGCTCTCGACTGCTTGGAATGCGAAGGGAGAAACATCATCACCTAGGACTAGTCCCGTGGGGAAATCGGGCGATGGAGATGGTGCCAGTCCTTTCGACGAAGCAGGATCCCCAGCAGGGGGCTCACGGAGAAGCAGTGTCTCTCAGGAGAAGAAGAAACGCAAGTCCGAAGCTAGAGCAAAGGAACGAGCATCATTGAAGACTCAGATGGAGTCTCTCGACCTGGTCCTAGGCAGTATGCAGGGTCTTTTTGGGAATGCAACGAAGCACCTGAAGAAGCGGGAGAAAAGGAAACAAAAGAGGGAGACGAGACGGCTCAGCAAATTGAGTGGTGTGATGGACATGAGCAAGGTCGCTGTTGAGGGGCTTGCTGAGGCAGATGGTGCTGATGCAGGACAGGGACAGCAAGATGGCGCCACTGCTGCCGCTGCTAGTGGAGATCAGGTTCAGCTGCTTTCAGTTCTCCAAGGTGACGGTACTGCTTTCAGTTCTCCAACTACTAGTAGTAATGAATCAGAAGCAGGATCTTCACCGGACGCAGCAGCAGCAGCTGAGCAAGAACAAGCTGCCATCAAGGCTGCTTTGTTAGCACTAGTACAACAAGCAGATGACGATGAGCAACCTCCTGAACGTCAAGCAGATGTACAACAAGTAGAATCTGTCGTGAGTCCAGGATTTATTGATGAAAGTGATGACAGCAAGGAAGAGAAGATGACTTTAACCACAGGTCGTGTCGGTGTGGCATCTTCTTCACAGGACAAAAAAGAAGAGGAATCTACTGCTAGTACTAAACTTCTTTCGCGATCGGGAGGGGGAGAAGGAGAGGCTACTGGACCTGAAGTAGAGATCATCGAAGGAGGTGAGGATGATCCTACAGCAGGAGTTGATGTTGATGATGATCCTAGTTCTAAACAACAAGAACAAGAGCAAGACGACTTACCTGACGAACATCACAAGCATCTCAATCTTCTTTTAACTGCGCACGTGACCCAGATCATGACGGATAGAGCACACGCGGCCAAGCAGCACGTGACAGGAGCCGCGAAAAGTTCACGAGAGAAATTCCTTCTAGCACAGCAAATAAGAGATGAGAAGGCCAAAAACAAGAAAGAGAAGGAGGAAAGAGAACAACAGAGAAAAAGTTCGGCGTCACCGTCAGTGTCGTTTAGAGCAAGAGCAGCTTCTTATTCAGAGGCTGCTCCTGGGGACGATGTAGCAGCTACTAATGCAAAGAATTCGTTGACAACTTATCGAGCAGGAGCGGAAGGTGAAGCATCATCATCCTTAGCAGCTGCAGCATTTCGGTCCAGTGTCCCACGTTCCTCTATGGCGGGAACTTCTCTCCCCAGACACGAAACGGCTGAAAGTGACGGGAGGACGAGCACAAAAAGTTTTGGGAATAGAAGCAGTTGTATGTCTGGTCGAGTGAGCCGCGGCCGTGAGACTCAAGAGTCACGGCGTGAGTCTAGACCAGAGGATGGATCATCCCAATGGCGAGGAACGCGGGCTTCTTCAGCTACAAGAAGCTCTGATCGCATAGAATTGCTCGAAATGCTGCGACGTCATAAACTTCGAAGCATGCATTAAGACTTTTGTTCTAATATTAGTAAGTAATTCAATCATGATGATGATTTTAGTTAGAGGTTTTTCTTTTTACTTACAGAAAGAGAGTATGAAGATGCTGCCATCAGCATCTGTTATGTTTCTGTTCTTGCACAAGATGAACCGTGGGCCGTACCTACTTACTCTCTAAAGTACTAGGAGCACCTCGTTTTTTTATGATCTCTTCTTTTTTTCTACTACAAGTAGTACAATACAGGTTGTTGATGATGCAGTTGATGTTGACAGCCATACAAATTGTGATAAAAATTGTGATAGCTCTAACAAAAGACCCAGGACTTGCTGAACGAGATCGAGGAGGCGGAAGAGGAAATTAAGAAGAGCAAGGCTGGAGAGGAAATCGAACTCCCAAGGGGAGGTAAACAAGTGGGTGCAACAACTCGAAAAGGTTCCAAGGAGATGAAAAGTGGCATTTCGAAAATTAAGGGTTGCCATATTGCATTCTTCACTATGAAGATCCATGCCTTGTGTTTCAGTAGGAAAGGGGTCACACTCAGTTACAGGGGTCGATGATCTGAAGAGTGCAATGTCGCAACGACCTCTAAGATAAAAAGTGGCACCAAAGACGAAGATTTATTGAGCGCGATCGATCGAACGTTCGCCACACGCCAATACGATCATGAAGACGATATGGATGAAGATGCGACGACCAGGCAGAAAAAGCTGGCACTAGAGAAGAAGAAAAAGGTGAGGCAAACACTGGTAGAGAGGCAGAAAGAAGCGACACAAAAGCTCTTGGACAAGCTGGCGATGGAACAAAACAGGAGAAAAAAAACGAGAGAAGCTTCGCTTTTGGCAGCCGACCAAACTTTGTTAAACCGGTCGGAATTTAACTTATGGGAACTTCTTAGATTTCTTGTTGGTTTGTGTTTGTGACTGAGTAGTTGTTACCGGTAGTGGAGTTGTTGTGGGGCAGGTCCTCGTTTTCTTGATTTCATCCCTGCTGGCTGCTGGAAGGTTCTAATCAGGACACGTATCTCGCGGGCCGATTCTCCAACCTCCACAGGATATGGTCATGTCAGCGTGTTCGATAAACCCATGCGCGCACTACCTCTAGCCGTGGAACATACGATTGATGGAGCGACGACCCGCATCAACAAAGCTTAAGGTGGCTAGTGTTAGTATCACTATCCCATGAAGATGTGGACGAGTGTGCTCGTGCTGAGTGAAGTCCCCTTTGATTTCAAGGCGAAACAAAGTGGCGCTCATTATGCATATAAAAATATCCCACCAGGGATATAATTAGGGATAGCGATACAGATACTAGTGAAGGAATGCTAGCGCTAAAAAGCACACAAGAAGAAAACTGTCATGCATGATTCAAATCCTCTTCAAGGTTCTACCATCCTATCTTCTGAAGGAGGGCCAGCAGATGAAGACCAAACGGTGGGACGAGAGGAGGTAGAAGAAGCATTGAAATCACTAGGAACGAACTACACGAAGGGCGGACAAGGTGGAAAGGGAACAAGCAAAGAACTCTCAGTAGCTCAACTACGCGCCATGGTGGCTGCTTCTGTGCGAAAGGGGAACGCTTTGGAGAACGTTAGTGAGAACATCGACTTCCTAGTGGCTATGGAGGAAATCTGTAAAATCATAGAGCACGTAGAACTGCAGAAAGCTAGAAAAAAGCGGCACGAGAAGGATATGAAGAAGTACCAACCTCGTTTACGAACAAGCAAGGAACTAGCAGGCACAGGAGACTCAGCTTTTGGGAAGAAAAAGAAACAAAGCTCAGCTAGGTTCGACCCTATTGTCGAAGGAGGATCTTCGGAGCATGACTCAGCTGATGAGTGGCATTAAGGCTGTAGCTAATGCATCTTTGACTGCATGCTTGAAACGTATGGGGGAGTATCTCAGCGCGATACTCTGGCATACTTTTCAAGGATGCAGCTGGGAGATGAATTACGGAGTGCGCTAATGGCAGCAGAGGAGGAATCGAGGCATCGATAAAAAGTTGAGTCTTCTCAGTAGTTCTACCCAGCGTAGTGAAGGTTCGCAGCGCCCGAGTGAACTCATGATAATAGGCAAGGAGGACACGACCGGCGTAGACATGACAGTAGACGCTCCACCTGCGGAAGCGGAAGGAAACCCTGACCCTAAGCTAGACCGGTCTGTCGAACCACTATTGCTGGTCAACGGAGATGGTTCTGTTGTACCACAAGAACTTGGTGATGAGCTAGGGATATCTGCATCTGAAGGCTGCGAAGACGTGGAGGTGAAGATCAATAGTTCGCGTTCCTCGAGATCACATCGTAGTGCTGGTGGTAGTGTGAAGCTACAACAATCTGAGTCTTCTCCTGCTGACCTTGGCGATGGAGGCATCCTTTCAAGTGTCGATATCGGACCTCCTTCTTCCATCGATGAAGGGAGTTCTCGGAAATCATCTGCCAGAGGAAGTAGAAAGTCTTCTAGAGACGAGCATGTAACAAGAATAAGGGTTGAAGAAGCGCTTGCTACCGGTACTAGAACTAGTGGCGTCGTCATGAAGCGACGTCTTTCTGGTCAAACGGTCCGACCTGGGGAACCATCCTATGAGGTAAAGGATGTTAAAGAAAGCACTACTTCTGACGGAGATGATCAGAACACATCACGTGGTAACATCATAGGACAAGAAGATCGAAATTTTTCACAATTATCTACTGACGGAGAGGATAGCTCTATGTCCAGTGCGGAGAGGCAGAAGAAGATGAACGAAGAGAAGCGGAAACAACGTTTTGGCAAATACGAAGGTCGTGTCAAGGACCCTAAAAGGGTAGAACCGGTGCCGCGAAGCTTGCGCCCTGGTAGCACCAAGTCCAGAGTAATGAACGAAGACTTCATGCGCCAAAGACAGGAAAAACTGGAGAACGCGCGTTTGGTAAGGGAGTCTAGAGCAGCATCAGCTGGCTCTGGTCGTAGAAACTCCAAAGGTACTGCTGGTTCTCCCGGCTCGCCTGCTCCTGCAGCTGTGCATCACCATCATCATGAGCATTTTGTACATGGGTTACGATCGAGTTCACCTCCAAGTCCAACTGGTGCGGGACGACCGCGTGTGGGGTCTAACATGATCATCCCCTCGTCAGTGGTTTCTTCCGCAAGAGCGTCAAAGAGATCTTCTATTGGAGCTGTGGCGGGGGACAATGACAGCAGAGTGGTGCTGGCAGAGACCAGCTCGTCAGATGAGCGAACAAAAGCAGCTGCTGTAGGATCGTCATCTACTTCTACTAGAAATTCTGGTGTTAATTAAGGCTTAGACCCTAGTCCATCTTCTGAGGCATCTTTCTTAGACCTGTCCCTCCTCCCGTAAGGGTAAGGGGAAATAGGTCCAAGATGAATCCCTCGATGGATTAGGGTGAGCTCTAAGGTAAGAACAAGAAATCTATGGTGAACGTCAACGATACTGAGGATGCAGCAAGTGCTTCCTTGATGGCTTCGAATTTGACGCCAGGTGGTTCCAAGATGATCGAGACACAGCACAATTCTCCAGCACCCTTTCGGTATTTGCCGGAGAAGTTGTATCAGCCGATGCCTGGAACGTCACCGCGCAGTCGAAGCGACAGCCCAGTTGTCCCAAACTCTTACTTCAGGAACAAGAAAATGCCTCACGGCCAAGCGCCTCTTCGGGGAATGCTGGTTATCGATAGCACCACAGAGGAAGAAAATCAACTTCGACATCAAGAATTCGTCGACACAGGGCTACTACGACGTGGTCAAGAACCCAAGCAGCAAAGAAGAGGTAGAAGTCCGCCACACCTCTATTACGGTGAACAAGGATCCTCAAGGTCCGGTTCTTCTAGTGCTGTCGCATCGAAACTCTCTTCTAGCTCAGGTGGCGGTGTAGAGCAGCAATATGCAAATCTGCTTCAGCAACAATATTCTGGAGTTGAAAGAGGTCGTCCTGTAGCAGCTCGTGTGCCTCGTAGTGTGAGAATGCAGAATCATAACGAGAAAGAGAGAGCCAGAGCTTCGCCGACGAGGAGATATGGTATCATCTCACCAGATCTTCGAGATACTACTACTACTAAAGGATCTTCCCAAAAAGTATACCTCTACGCTAAAGACGACAACGAGGAAGCGAAAAGCACCGATACCGATGATCATTTTGATCATTTTCATGCGCAATTGCACCACGACCATCACAAAACTAGCGCACACAGAATCCTAGAGGCCTTGCCGCACGATCACGAGCACAAGCAGAATTCTAAGGGCAAGCTTGATGAAATCAAGGCTGCACGCAGAGCAGGACAAAGGAAGAAAAGCACGTCGGGTGCAGATGGAAGGGCGTCGATGGTGAACAGTAGCGGCGGAGGGGGTGGAGGATCTCCTTCGTCCACCTTAGGAGTAAGTCGTAGTAGCGGTAGCTACGAGGAGCAGGATGGTACAACTAGCAATAGTCCTGGTGGACCTGGAGGGCGTGCTAGCACATCAGCTACTGGAGGAGTGACCACTTCAACGATGAATCAGTACAACTATCAAGAACAACCATTTAGATCTTCTGCAGCTGGCTCGTCCGATGCTGCGGCAAGACTATCTTCTCCTTCTGCGCGTGTGATAGAGGCAAGCGGTGATAACGGTAATAACACAGGGCTATTCTCAACCGTGACCAAGGGAGTTACCAATCTTGCCTTCGGTGCCTATGAATCGCTATTCACGCAGACTGTGGAAGACGAATACAGCTTACTGGTGAAAGCGCTGCAAGACACTGCGGATGCGCAACAGCAAGAGGCTGAAGACATGGGTCTAGTAATGCCTCCCTTGACACCACAGAGGAACTCCATGAGAGGTCTAAGCATGCAAGGAGTAGGAGGGCCAGTTACGTCAGCAGGAGCGCCATTTCTAGGGCAATCTCCAGCATCGGCTGGAGGATTTACGTCAGCAGGAGCGCCATTTCTAGGGCAATCTCCAGCATCGGCTGGAGGATTTACGTCAGCAGGAGCGCCATTTCTAGGGCAATCTCCAGCATCGGCTGGAGGATTTGTTGGCTCTCCATTGACTCCCCGCAGTTCGGGTGTTGGACCACAACAGCTGCATCAACAAAATACAAGTGGCGGTATTGTTCCGACGTCTCCCATGCCGATGGCGATGAACAATTTTAGCCCTGCTCAAGTACAACAGCAGCAAGCAGCGTTGTTGATGGCGCAGCAACAAGCTCAAGCACAAGGTCCTCTTCAGGCAAGTTTTATGATGCCGCAACAACAAGCAGCAGGAGGTTTCATGATGCCGCAACAGCAACAACAAGGCATTACGTTGTCCCCGCGGCAGCTTCAACTGCAACAACCACAAATGTTTAACATGCCGCAAGCGCAACAACAGCAGGTAGCTGTTGCTGGCCGCTCACGGACTCCGCAGAGCGATACATTACCTGGCGGCAGAACATCGACGGCTCCCCAAGCAGCACAGCAAGCTTTCAACTACTCTTCCGCTCAGCAGGTCATGATGCAGCAACCACAACAACAGCAAAACATCTTACAACAACAAAATCTCCTATTGAATCAAGCTTCTGCGCAATTGCAGAACTATCAGCAACAGATTCTCCTGGCAGATGCGGGGGTGCTGAATCAGGACGCTTTGCAACAAGAACAAGGACAGCAAGTAAATGTGGGGGAAATTGTACAACAACAATTAGCTGCCCGCCAAGTGCCACAAGCTCAACAAGAGGAAGAACAGCAGTCTGGTACTGCTATTGCGAGATCATCTAGCGGAGGTTCGCCTGGTCTTGGGGGTCTAGACCCTGCAATTGTCGACCGATTGCATCCTGGACTAGCTAGTGAGCTCGGTGAGCACGGCGATCATCATTGGAGCGCTTTAGACGGTGCAAGGAACTGGTTCCACACACCTGGAAACTCGGACAAGGAGGAGGAAGAAGACGGCAACAAGTCACAACCGCTAACTGGTCGACATTTGCAGCCACCTAGGTACATGCCTGTCGTACCGTTGGGTTCTGGGGTGCCGTTCGTACAGCCGACAAACACTCTTTCGCCGCGACCGCCAAGCCCAACAGCGATGTACACCAATATGAAGAGTGCTAGCAAGCTGGCTAAAGCAACGTGGGACGCTTTGCGACAGATCAATGAGGAAACGGCAATGGCCCTACGTATAAACCAGATTCGATTGCATGGCGGGAACGTTCTAGATCTAGATGGAGAAGGTGGAATGACGAATCCGATGTTTGCAGCTTCAGTAGTGAGAAGAAGCCTGAGTCCTCCAGTCCTTGGCTCAAAAATTCCGTTTTTGAAGTTGCCGGAGAATGGGCTTCTTCATGCAAATGCAACAGAATTAGATGGAGGCGCTCCGCGAGCTTTTTCATCTCCACCAGGACGAGCTGGAGGTGCATACGGTGGGATGAACTACAGAAGTCTTTTCGGAGGATCTTCTGGATCGCCTACTCATCTTCTGCCTGACATGAGCCTCGATTTCGAAGAACATCTGCGCGCTTTGCGTGAGTGGCGTCGCAAAATGGTCCTGGGACTCCACGACAGGGACAGCGATCATCTGCCAGATCCAGTTTTGAGACGTGGGCGATCTAGATCGAGGTCACCAATGACTACAGGTGGAGGTCGTGGTGGTGGGGTCGGTGCCTCTGCAACGAATTACACTGCTACTGTCCCAATGTCCCCTCTGGGACATCAGAAGATCTACGCGAATGATGCTACTTCTGCGAGAGTAAAGCGTATGCTAGAGCAATCAGCGATGTACATGAAAGCTGCCGACGAGGAGGAAGCTGCCGCGTTTGTTCAAAGAAAGAACCGAGGAAACATCAACACCACAACTTCAACTTCTAACTATCCTGTTGCAAATTCAAGTGGAATGCCCAGTTACCTCCTGGCCAACTATGCGAAGACGTTCTCGAATTCCGTACACGATTTTCGGATCAGAGGGAGAGGAACTGGCGCAGCGGGTGCCGCTGCACTTGCGCAGATGAACACTCAGACGAGACCACAGCCGGAAGGTACTGTGGGTGCAGATGTAGTAAGTAGTGCAGGTGCAGTACGTACTAGTGCTGTGGCTCCTCTTTTCCGCGGTGTGGATGTTGGCAACACGACACGATCGCCGTCGCCAAGAGTAGTAGCAGATATGCTTGCCAATCCTGCGGTTGCGCGATCTAGATCGGTGCCTCCTAGAGAAGGTCTCGGAATCATCCCCACCGCGCCAACGAGCGACTATATGGAGAGTTTGAAGGTGAACAAAGTGAAGAACTGGGGCAACAGCAATGTGGGAGCAACAGCAGGGAAGAGTGCGACATCAAGTGTAAGTGGAGCGCCGCAGGCGAATGCAACCTCGACAAGTGCAGGAACGGCGAATGCAGCAGGCACTTCAGCGGCAACTGCTGTTGCTGCTCCCGCAGAGCAGCGTCCTCGCTCCCAATCCGTGTTACCATACTCGGTCCGCCTCAAGCGCAGTGTCTCGCCTCTAGATGAGTATCACGCACTCCGCAGTCTCAGAGAAGCAAGAAAAAGTGGGATTTCTGAACGCGCGAAGCGACTTAGTTCGCCACCATTCGGGCTTCACCAAGGAGCCAAAGACGCCGAGCGCTTCCGCGCTCTACGTTGCCACTCGCCAGCTAAACTCCTAGTTGAGACCGATCGTGCCCTAGCCAAGGTTCGTGCGCGCAGTGCAGCTGCTGCACGCATCCTAACCGGTGAGGAAAGTCCATTTAGGCGACAACCAGGCGTGCATCGCTATGACCGCACGCGTGGAACGGTACTGTATGCACCACAAGACCACGCAGCAACTGGTGGCGAGGTTTTTTCACCATCAAGAGAAATGGCTTTGGACCACTATTCGGGAGCTCTGATGGCCCATCGACAACTGACAGCTACTGCAAGTGAGAGAGCGGCACGAGCAGGAGGGGTGAATGTCGCAAACTTCGGAAACGGAAACATCAATCAGAACACCAACATCAATCCACTGATGAATACATCAACCAGCAGAACAGCTGGCAACATTTTGGCAGCAAGAACTGTTGCAGGACTGCCATTATCGGGTGCTGGCGGTGCTGATCCTACTGTAGAAGAAGTCGCAAAGCAACAAACCGAAGACACTTTGCTGAGGGAATTGGCTAAATTGCAACTACCACGTTCGGAAAGAGGTGCACCTACTAATTCTGGCAGAGCATCTACTTCTGCGAGAAGTTACAATAATGGAGGTGCAAGAGCATCTACTTCTGCGAGAAGTTACAATAATGGAGTAGAATCAGGTGCAGCTGGTGGTCTAGAAGTAGTTTCAAGAGCAAGCACTTTTGGAGCTCGCGAAGGCAAAGTCGTACTGGATGGGCGTGTCAATCAAAGCATCTTGATTCCAACTCATCCCTTCTCTCCAAGCAAACGAGCTCAGGACGCTGCATCCGCAAACCATGCAGGGAAGCTTCTATCCCAGATTGGACCAGAAGACCTGCCAAAGCCGCAACAAAGCCTCAAGGCCAGAATGGACAAGTTTAGTCCTGAAGCGGTCGAGAGGGAAGGCGCGCACAGAGCAGAACTCGATAAGATCAATGAAGACGCGCGACGCGCGGTGCTTCGTGGTCCCAGGAGGAGTCCTCAAGACGATCCGAATTTTCAATCGCCGTCGAAGATTAGTCAAAGGTTCTTAGAAACAGCGACGAACTTGCTGACGACAACATCTGCGGATTTCGCGAAGAGGGCTACGATATTGCCTAAGAAGTGAGGAGCCTGAGGCTGAGGCGAGGAAGAAAGAAAAGCAAAACTTTCCACTATGCAAGTGCATGAATCTTCCAGGAATCATTGACATAAGACTAAAATTCACATACTTAGTGCATGGAATCATTGACATAAGACTAATTCACATACTTGGTGCATGAACATGAAATGCAATTCACTATTCTATTCGTTCTTCGGTACACATTTTACATAAATCAAAGTTTAGAGAGCAGAAATAAGCAGTCAAGCATTTTGAAGATTCAAGAAACTAACGTTGTAGCTAAGAGAAAGAGTAACAGTATACGAAAACGATCGAAACGGATTGAAAAAAAGTAAATGTCGGATCTCTCTAATATTCCATTTCATGGATATCATAGTTGTCAGCAAAATCAATTCCTAGAAGAACTAGATGAAATAACAGAAGAGTCAAACTAGACTCCACTACAGCATAAAGACAAAGCAAAAACTTCGTCGAACATCAAACACATCATAAGAGAGCTGAACATCCTAATGGGGTCTTCCGTATCCATCGTACAAGGCAGTATCTATTTCCTTACTAGTTACTAGTTGAAGTTGTCAATGTCAGTCATAAAAATTTCATCAATGTAGAAACAAACAACTGATTCATCATTAGTGTAAAAATAGACAAGTAAATCACAATCAGCATTTTGATATCATAGTTGACATTTTCATTCAGAGAAACATTATAACATCAGGT